TTTGCCGTCCACCTTTACAACAATGGGGATCCACAATGTCAAAAGGGACACTGCTGCATTGACACAAGGTCCAATGTTCAGTGGGGGACATATGGAACGTAAGGGCCCTGGTGCCAGTTGTTGTCTCGGGGTGGCCCCGGGACTAGATCTCACTGGCCTCCCATATTGAGGATGGGCCGGGGGCAGATGTGGAGGATGGTGCAGGGGCAAATGTGTAGAGGGGAACAGGGTGGAGCTGGGGCAGATATGGTGGGTGGAGGATAGTGTAGGGGTGATAATGGCAGGTTGGTAAGCCACTGGCAAAATGGGCCTGGATCTCTGTGGGTCCCCCACAGCTCTGGGGCAGGAGCATCGGCTACTCCACTGGGACTGACTCCACTGGCAATGTTTGTAGTGCATGTTCCTCTTTGAATGTTTTCATGACTCCGTTAGACAATGATTAGATAGTTAGCAAAATGAGTGAAGGTTTCAGGCCTCGTGCAGCACTCTGCAACTTCGTACGGCATGGCCCTGCCCAATGCAAGCAGCGTTTGGTGCACAGGCCAATTGATTTCAATGGGGTTACATCCGTATGTAATGTTTGTCTTCAAAGGTACATGTACCTTATTAAGAAAATACATGATGCATGGCTCTTTGAGCCCTGGGGTGGCATTAGAAAATATAGGCACACACACAGTGCAATTGGTTCACACCTGTTGCAAATCACGAATGCATGGCTTTCCACATTGAATCATGCACGATTGGTGCGCAGTGAGGTATCGTCTGGATGTGCATGGCCCGTCCAGGACGATACCACATTCTTCACCACTCCTGTCCAGTTTACACATCTCCCTAAATCTAGAAGGTGATGGAAAGTCTGCCTAGCTTTTCACAAACAGGCTTTGTCATGTATTTTTGCCTCTGGCAAACCACCACATACATTGTACATGTCTTGTAGAGGTCTGTCCAAACAACTCCCTCAAATTAAGGCTAAATGAGGGAAACAAGCCCTCAACTGGGACATGATTAGAGGCCTTCATCCCCACACTGAAAGTGTGGCAAGGCTCCCGAGAGAGGCAAGGGTCACGTGTTTAATAATACAGTATTCATCAATGTAGGTTCCTAGTCTCATTTATGCTGTCTGAATCAGGATAATTGACTGCATTTCTCCTTCATAGCAACACCAGGTCCCTCCAGGGTGGCTGCAGTACGGGCCGACTCCTCCTCTGCAGTGGTATCTTCGGAGGATGATGAGGGTAAGTGTTAAATGTGCCCAGATGGCCATATCACCCACACTCACCCATATAGCACATGTAAGACATTTGAGTAGGTCAGAATGACACAGTTTTGCCCATATGTGGTTTGTGTGCCCTCACCTGACTTCACCTCATGTCCCTATAAACACCTCTCTAAAGGTCCAAGCAACAGGGAGTCCAATGTTTTCAAAAAGAGACCTAGCTCATTGAACTGTGCCACGGTGCCTAGATGTCAACTAGCCCAATGTCAGATAACTCGGTTTCCTCTCTCTTAATGGGTATATGTATAATGTCATGATGTCCAACTAGGCATCTTTCATATAGGTTTAGTAGGTTCCCATTTGGAGATAACAGTTTAGGGATACTTGATGTTGCTTGTGGGGAAATAAGATGATAAAATGATTGATGTTATGCTTTACATCTTCTCTCTAGATCCCTGGGTGCTCCGCCGCACCAGG